ACAAAATTGGCAAATAGGTACTTATTGAAAATAATCTTAAGATACGGCTATGTAATCTTTAATACACAGGGCTTTTGGCCTGTCCAAACCTTTTTCTATTGTTCTGTACAGCTTATGTTTATAAAGGACCAATAAAAGACCCAAAACTTGTAATAGCTCAGGTACATTTATTACAATTTTAGGAAATATTTAGATTATTCTGTAAAAATATTTAAAATGACCGTACTAAGTTTTGCATTAGAAATGCTGTTTTATTACTCTCTCATACATAAAAATAGACTATAGTAACAGTAATAACCTGCAATGTACATGAGTCAAATAATATGATTTTATTCTAAAACAGACCAATACAGCATATCTCCAAAACTAGATCTTTAGACTAAATCTGACTGCAATTTTGGGATCTGCACCTATAAATAGTTTAAATGTGCAGGCATCAAAATTTCTGTTGGGCTATATAAATAATAAAAATGGTTCTTAAAATTTCAGAATAACCGGGTAATTAAATAAACTTAAGAAAATAATTAGGCAGGTGAGCAGACCAGCATGCAGAAAAACATAAAAATACGTAAATTGAAACACCTGCGTTAAAAATTAAGTCGTCAAAGAAAAAACAGCTGCATGAAAAATGTATTTCAGAAAATATAATTAAATATTTCGAAAAAACAGCGATAATACATCGTCTACTGAACCAGCTGATATAATATATCTCATAAAATTATGACAGATTAGAAAATTATTTAAAAAACTTCATTGAACCACATTATCTAACAATCTGAAATTCTCTTATAAAGAGAATATAAATAATATCAAAAATATGAAAAAATAAACACCTCAGCAAATTATGAATAAATACTAGGAAGTTAAAATTGAGAAAGTTAGGTACCTATATAAACTATAAAATGTTTTGTTTGTACTTTGACATGTGGCAACAATGTAATGTTTGATCCATTTCGTTTAAGTATTTAAAAAAATCAAGATGGCTGCTGTACTCAAAACACTGATCATAAATTTGACATGTCCTCTAAAAAAAATGCAGAATACAATATCATTCATTAATTATAAATTCATTTGTTTTAAAGAAAATACATTGTTGCCAGACTTTTTCGCTACCCTGTATTTGTGCACGACTCATAAATATTAGATTAGGATTTAAAAATTTTTTTTTGCACTTATACCATAATAATTGTCATAAAATTAAAATAAAACTCAAATCGAAACAGGTACCTGCACAACTTCAAAAGGTTTCTAATGCCGCGTTTGAGAATCCACATCGGATGCATTTTTTACATCTCGAGCGTTTTTTTATCCACATCGGACACATCTACTACATCTACATCTGCGTTTGTTTATCCCAGATGTACCTGTTCAGATTACATTTTTTACATCTCGATTTGGAATGAGATGTAAATGAGATGTTCGTTCCATGCCAGAAAGTAAGTGTTCTGTGAAGCCTTGTTTGTCAATTTATCCTTTGTTTATGCTAGCATGAATATAAAAGTGATTAGTTTGTTTAATTTTTGTTTATATTTCAAATTTAGGTTGATTTGTAGTTTCAAAAGTCAAATTTAATAAGTATAAACTTCTAACATGTCATTGACATTTTATCACGTGATCAAATAAAGTCTAGAGCGTTTGTTTATTACATCTACAATCAGATCTAATTCTCTATCACGTGATAAAAAATTCGCAACATCTCAGATGCATCCGATGTGGACTCTCAAACGCGGCATAAATTAGACCCTTTTCGCATTATTACTAGTTAATGGTTATAATCCAATAATCAGTTACAATCACCACAATAAGTGAGGTAAGCCATTCGGGTTCCTAGAACTGAAACCCTTTCAGGTATTTGTATTACACCGTCAATTACTAGGCAACGTTGCCACATTTCAAATTAGAAACGTTTTAAAGTTTAAAAACCAGGACTAAAAGAACAAAATATGGTTAGAGGGCCTTGAATATAAAATAAATCATTTTTGACTTAAGTAATAGTTTGACATCTCAAAATCCTACTTGACTGATAGAATCTTCCCGAGTAAAACAAGAAACTAAAGCAGGGGTACATCAAGAAAGTGTTCTGGGACCAGTTCTTTACCTGGTGTTTACCTCCGATATACCACAAACGCAAAATGTGAAAGTAATCACATTTGCCGACGACACAGCTATACTTGCCATCGGTAAAACCATAGGAAGAATTAACCAGAAAACTTAATAGGCAACTAATAAAATCCACGAGTGGGCAAAAAGATGGCGCATTAAGCTCAACGAAACTAAAACGGTTCAGATTAACTTCACTAATAAAAGATCAGTAGAATACCTACAGTGATGTTAAATAATACTAGAATACTATATTCTAAATCGGCGAAATACTTAGGGGCACGAACCTAGATATAAAATTAAAGTGGAAAGAACACATAAAGAAAAAACGGGAAGAGTTGTGTACAGTGTTGCCAGTCTGGTACAATTGTACTAGATCTAGTACTTTCTCTGAGAATCAGGTACTCTAGTACACTCGAAGCAAAATCTAGTACTTTTTCTTTTTTCAGCCTGTTCTATTTGACGTGTAAAATATATTGTTGAGGCCTTCCTTGTTTGTTGTGTTAATGAGCACACTTCATAATTCGAAAAATCTGGTACATTACAATAATATATTCTGGCAACACTGGTTGGGTATTAAATATAGAAAATTATACTGGTCGAAGGATAAAAATCAAAACTTGGAGTATATTAAGTATAGATCTGAGAATGCATAGAGTCGAAGAAGAAAGGAAAACCATAGCAAAACTGAATAACAATGTCAATATTGAAGTTCTACAATTCCTGGACAACCGATACCTAATGAGAAGGCTCAGAAAGTCTAAACCATTTGAATTAGTGATGTGAAATTATGTAAAAGCAGAGCACAGTGCGCGTGTACAGTGTATAGTAGGGAAGAGTAAAACAGTGACTTTTTAATAACAGGTACAGTCTGCTTCAGTTTCATAAAATACCTGTTTCAAAAAACCTGTTCCAGTTCCAAGTTGTTTCAACAACTTAAACCGTTGTTTGTTGTTTCAGAAACACTGAAACCACGAATACTACACGATACCGAAACTAAAACAAGACAGTTTTACCTCGACGGAACAGTTTGTTTTTACACTGAAACCACGAATAGGTATCACACAATACCGAAACTAAAACAAGACAGTTTTACCTCCACGGAACAGTTTGTTTTTTTATTGTTTCAACTGTTTCAAGGGTACCTGTCACAGTCGCAATGTAGCAGTCGCAAAAACGCAAATTTCAACTTATAGTTATTAATTATTATTACAACTATTATGAATGTTTTTTTTTGCTGAAAAAAAAAAACTAAACTAAAAACACTATTGAATAAACAAAATAAGTATGTTTCATACAATCTTATTTTATTTATTTTTTTATTTCAAAAATAACACAGATTCTATAATATTCATTATTTAATAATAATTATCAAGCTGTTTCAATAAAACTGCTGGCTAGTCTGTAACTGCAACATGCAACTGTCACAGTAATTAATATTAATAAACCAATGCCTAATAACAAGTTGTTCCAGTCTCACGCAATTTGCGCTGTGCGACTGTGACAGCAAGTAGCAATTTAAAATAAACTGAATCTGCGTCCACCGAAACAGCTGTTCTGTGGAACAGTTTCGTGATTCGACGTATACCTGTTCCAAGTGAAAACCTGTTTCAAAAATAACAGATACTGCTTCAGCGTCAGCGACACAACCCTAGTGTATAGTTCATCAGAACAGAAACGAGAAGATACCAGTGGATGAACTCTTAGTTTTAAGCCTTTTAAGTTTATAATAAAGACAAATGGCTGGTTGGCTGAAATATAGCCAAGTACATTGCAAACTAACAAACAAAAAATGAAAATTTCTTGATTTACCAGCCAACTTGAGAAACTGGTATCGTCAAAGACTCTATATATGGCCTGTGGAAATTAAAATTATAGAAGCGTAGACAGATGCGGGTCTTCTTATAACCCGTCGACCTTGAATTTAATAAAGCATACATGATGAACGAATACAAAATATATTAATTACAATAATAATTATAAACTACGACTGCTATACAAAATGGCATTTTTCTGACAGCTTAGAAGAAAGCTCGAAAAAATTTACTTGTCTCGTTACATTACAAAAAAGTAACTAACCTTGCAAAGTTTATTTTGTAAATCCGAGGTTAAATATGTGCTCCCCTTGAACCAGTTCTATATTTTTTTATAAATAGGTACCTAGTTAATATTGTCCAGTTAGATTGTTATCTTCATTGAGAATTTCGTATTGAAACTTTAACGTTTCAAATTATTATGAATTAAAATTTAATGTTTATATAAACTGGATTTTCTTCTTGTTATAAAAAAACATATCAACATACTGAAATTAATTAAAAGGAGTCTTCAACAATACCAGTATCCCACGTGGTACCAAAACAAGATTTTATGAAACTGGCCGTTTTTGGTGACTTTTACGTCATCCAGTTCTGTCAAATAAGTTTTAGAATTATTATTACTTAAGTTATTAATTGTAATTTTTACCAATATAATTGCGTGAGATACGAATACTGTGGAATAATCTGTATTTGTTAAGAAATTATTACTGTTAAGAGAAATTCTTAAAAAAATAAATTAATCTATATTATCATTCAGAACTATCTAGAAGAAAATTACCAACACCTGGACTAATTTTAATATGATAAAACAACAAAATAAACGAACAAAGATTTACCTAATAATTCTTGTATCTACTGAACTAGGTATATTTAAATCCATTTATTTATGCACATAAATTGTAATTGATTAAAATTTCACTCTCACTTTAATTACCATTAACTTTGACAAACGTCAATTATCAGTTCATCGCCTACTATGTTAGGGATGGTTAAACCACTCAACTACATTACACAAAAATAATAACTTTACTTCTACAGACACCCGGAAATATTTTTTTATTATATTATTATGTAGGTACTCACTTTCTATAAACACTCACGATTTTCTTCATCGGAAAAACAAAACAAAAAAGATCTAAAACCACATGTTGATAATGACAATAAACTTTTACTTTGTAACTGCAACACAAACTGCACGACATGCACAATCCCAAGCACAACCTCACACTGTATTTATTATTGTGTAGAGAAGAGAGAAGACCTACGGCGCGGCCACAGCTTACAAACAAAACTACAAGCGCAAGCGCCTAGGTCCTCATTGAGGACAAAAAGCGCGGGAATATCTGATGGCCGAGAAATGGAAGTTAGTTCGGATTATGTGGTGCACAATCTAGCTGGTCAAAATTATTGTAGACCGTAATTTCATTTATTCGGTTATTGGGATGTGCCGATAACGGTCGGTACCGCACATGTATTTTAAGAAATACATATAGGGCTAACCGGATGTGCAAAATATATAGTTATAAAATAATAAATGTCTATTATTTCAGTCTTCTTTCAAAAGTTTTTGGGTACAGGAGTGTGAACGTTTTTTTATCTTCCATCTTTACTATTATACGCCGACACTCGAACGGCGGATATAACTATTGAAATATTATAGAAAGTTTCTAGACACTTTGAAACACACTATACATAACAATTTTGGGTCCGCTGACACTAAAAAATTCTTTTCTACCTTAAAATTCTTAAAATTTGTTGTTAGGCCTCCATCGTAAAACAAATGTGAAATAAACCATTTTCACTGATTTTTTGATGTAGAAACGGCTAAATATCAATATTAGAGCAATAAACCATACCAATTTTTTTCATAAACGATCAAATTTTCTTATTTTTCATGTTTAGTTTAATAGAAAAACAAATATACATTAAATTATTTTCAGTGACAATTGACGTTTCTAGTTTTTATAAATGCGGTGTTGCCAAATCAAGTAAGAAAATATATAAGTCAAGAAATAATTCGGTTAATGAAAGTTGGCTCAAAAATTACATAGTGTCTGGCCAGCAGGTGAATTTGGATCCCGAAGTGAAAACATTTGTAGTAATCACAGACATTCGTCTTTTTATTTCATTTCATGATGATTGTACGCCGGCATGTCGGTACGTATGTAATATTTGTAAAAAATACTTTTTTTAAGCTATTGCATAGCTTTTATCGCGGGCTTTGAGCGCGGCGACCGAATCAAGAAATTCCGTAACGAAAATAAACCTAACACCCCCCACTCCGACCGGCCTTTAGCGGTGCGGCGTTGAAAGCCGTGCATCGTCTAACGTCGTTTCAGTTCGGCAGACTTCGGCACGGTGTTTGTGTGCGTGCGACTAGACGTATGCGTATAGACTAGCTGCTAACTGCTCATAACTGATTCTATCTCTTTTAGACACAATTTCGGAAAAATTGAATTTGAAAATGAATAATGATCCACAAGAATCCACAACAAAATATGGGACCACCATTGACGCGGTATTTTCCAGATATTTAGAGGATATCAAGTCTCAAACTTATGTTTAAATTTCGAATTTTGAAGAAAACTCAAAAACGGATAAAGGAAAAAACATTAAATTTTAAACTTAAGTTTTATTTCGGCTCGCAGTGAAATTATTAAATTTTGGACAAAGGCGGAACATTTGGGGGGTACTTTATGGGAGGCCGTTTTTATATTTTATGGAATATATCTGGTATTTATGTTTGGAGAAGAAAATTGTTCAGATAAAAATTACTTACAATAGTATTATCTATAATTTTGGTTCTATACAATTTTTTTTTAAATGGTCCGTATTCGAGTAATTTGACAAAATGTAATAAAATTCAAATTTTTAAGAAAATTGTTTAAATAAAAGTTATTTGTGATATCGATCTCTATAATTTTTGTTTTTTATACGATTTTCTAAAATGGACCGTATTGAAGGAAAAGTGCTAAATTTAAATTTTTCAGTATTTTCGTTTTCAATGAATATCTATAGAAAAATGTTTCGAGTTAGATGTATAGTTTATCCTCTAAACATTTATAGAGGTGCTGCAATAGGTTGTACAAAATAATCGGGAAAAGCCTATAATAACTAGATAGGAAAGTCATGTGTTGGACACATCAGATTTTTTTTTTGGTGATAGTCAGTTTGTATAAAACAGTGAGAACGCTCGCTCAGAAAATAACTTGTCTCCTATCAACTTCTTGAAATTCCGGTAGACAGATCTCTGCACGTGCATGCGTAGGTGCATATTTCCGGCAACATGCTACGTGGTTTTGCGTATTCTACGCATATATGTGAACACTGCAATTTAAAACAATGTGTTCTCGCCTTACCGAAAATACGTAGCCCTAATACGCATCTGCAGAATATGCATAGGTCACACTGACAGTTTTTTTACCTACAACTGTACTGATACCGATATTCTGTCATTGTGAACACCTAATATTTTGGTTACAAGCCGCCACTGAACAGAAATTTCGTATATGCAGAGAGAAAAGTTTGAGTATTTTGATCAAATTAAATTAAAAAATAAAATTTTATTTTCGAAAACCTTTCACAAAATAAATTGCATATTTTTGTTTTTCTAGAATATTAAGAACTGCATATCGCGCGATTGCACAACATATCGCGTGGTTGTAAATCTATTTTTATCGCCTTCCTTTAGAATTCAAGCACATGTCTATGCGAGTCGCATATCGTATATAGAAAGTAAAAGTTGAAAAGTCTTTTGGTAGGTAGAGAGGGGGTAAACGTCAAACCACGTCGGGCGGCTCCGAGAATTTCACAGTAATGTTTACCTGCCAGTGTCGTTTCATAGAATAAGTAATTTTAAATTGTTATCGACGGAACCGGACAATCGCATGTATTTATGGATTATAAATAATTATTAAACATGTATTATAATATTCAAATTATAATTTTACAAAATTTCAACAGCTATTCAGAATTTATTAAACTATTTACTCGAAATTGTTATTAACATCTATAAAATAATTTTGTACGCCAATGTATCGTGTCCACTTCGGTGAGATCCGCTGACAACCTGTCAATTTATGTGTATAAAGTGGGAGAACTGGCAAAAGCATTTCCAACTTTTACTTCTGTTCTACGATATACCGTTTATCTTATATACCCTTAGTGAATGGTTACACTGGATGCGGATACGTGCGATTTTTTAGTCGTGCGATGTCGTAAGACCGTTTATCATACGATTGATACGATTGTGTGGTTACATTGTTTGCGATTCATTCGTTGCATTCGTAGTTTCAATTCAAAATGGATGACGAAGGGATTTAGATTTCCTTAAAAATAGTTGTTTAAAATTTATATTAAATAAAAAAAGAAAATATTGGGTTAATGATATGTAGTTAAGGACAGACCAAGAAGGGGAGTACGTAACCCTTTTCAAGAAGTTAAGCAAGCAGCCACAAAAGTTGAGTACTTTAGAATTTTGCCTTCAACATACTAAATAGAATCCACCAGCGACTCGAAACATTCCAATTTTCGATTAGAAAATAAAACTTTTTGCGTACCAAAGGATCAAACTATTCCAAATACAAATATTGCCGTTGCCTATGTGCTCTTGGACGATGAAGCCTATCCTTTAAAAGTGTATTTAATGAGACCATATTCTGGTCGTAACCTCAGTGAACAAGAAGAGATTTATAATTAGAGACTATCCCGAGCAAGGAGGATTGTTGAATGTATGTACATTTGGCATACTATGTTCCAAATGGAGGATCCTCAAAAAAGACATTAAATGCCATCCAGACAAAGCAGATATGATTGTTAAATGCGCATGTATTCTTCATAATATAATTATTGATAAAGAAAGATGTATCGAAAATAATTTTAAAATGAACTCTGAGGTAATAAGTGTTACTTATTTTTTCCATTTTCTTTGCTATCTCTTCCCATCCCTTTTTTACTATAACTCTATTATGATAGTCTTTACATGTTTGATCCAACAACGGCTTCCCCGATTGAACACATAAAATTAACTTTTCTAAGTCCATTTTAAATAAATCTTTTAACAAAATCTTCTCAATTATTATTGAATATGCCACATGTATTAGCTTTCTATATCGTTAATATCGTACGATGTCGCCGAGAAAAACAAACGCGTTTGTTCTTCTCGCCTAGTCGGCCGACATCGTACGATATCAACCGACTAAAACGCAGTTAATGTAACCGCACACCTTTAAATCAGTTAGTTTGTTTTTACGTCCGACATCGTACGACATCGCACGACTAAAAAATCGCAAGTATCTGCATCCAATGTAACATTCACTTATAGAATGAACGGCGCCTAATAAATACATTTTTATTGTAAACTATGTGTAATTTTGTTGTATTCAACCTAATTTATGCAATGTGGGCTGCTATCCATCCAAAATGATGACCACAATCAAAAGTATCATTAAAATGATTTTTGACCACTAAAAAGTGGATTTGCCCCACTGTGCGACGTCTGGTGGTAAAATATGAAACTAATTTTAGGTGGCACTTTATTAGGAATATATTGCGTTTACCTCTTAGATTAAAGAGACCGAAGATGTAACATTGCACACTGCGCATGTTGTCTATTTTAACCCAAAGTAACCCACCAATTGAAAATCATTGTTGCACGACGCCACCCGAATTGCTCCGATTTCCATTCAGCGATCACACCTCCACCTGAGTTTAATCACCATTGACAGCTGTTTTTTGATTTATTTGTTGGTATTTTAGCAATTTAAAGTGTTCTAGTTATTCAATTTCAAGTTCAAAATGTCGTGATGTATCTTGAAAAATTGTATGTACTTATAATACAAGTACTACTGTTATGAATATATTCGTTTTCAGCGGTAAATATTTATTAACGTTTTGACATAAAGCGCCATGATTCTCTGGGCTGAATACTTCAGATCCGCATTAAGGGGTTTCAATAAATATTAAACATCACAAACTCAGATTTCATATTACTTACATAAATTTACAAAAGGGTAAAATTTTGAACATTTAATTTAAATAAATAGTAAATAGGCATTATTGCTAACGAAATTTTGTATTTAAAAAGTAGTTTTATAAGAATGTTTTCTAAAGGTAGTTTTTAGCCCTTTTTGGTAGATAAATAAGAGGTAAAGAATCATAGTTGCTAGCTAAATTTTATTTTTATAAGGTATTTTTATAAGAATATTAGATGAAATACAGGA